ATTCCATTGTGACATTATAATTTAGGTTTAAATCAGAAGCTACTACTCAGAATTTAAATATTGGCCAGGCATCGTGGCTCACACCTATAATCTCAGCACTTTGGGAGATTGAAGCAGGAGGATCTCTTGGGACCAGGAGTTCAAGATCAGCCCGGGGAACATGGCAAAACCTCAACTCTACAAGGAAAAAAATACAAAACTTAGCCAGGCACGGTGGCAAGCACCTGTGGTCCCAGCTATTTAGGAGGCTGAGGTAGGAGGACAGGTTGAGTCCAGGGGGTCAAGGCCGCAGTGAGCCGAGATCACACCACTGCACTCCACCTTGGCAACAGAACCAGATCCTGTCTCAAAAAAAAAAAAAAAAAAAGAACTGCACACACAATTATTTTTTCTTCTCTTTTGTGGTTTTGTTTTGTTTTTAAAGACGGGGTCTCGCTCTATTACCCAGGCTGCAGCCCAGTGGCATGAACATAGATCACTGCAACCTCTAATTCCCTGGAAGCTCTTGAAAATCTTTTCTGGAGAGACAGGATCTCACTATGTTACCCATGGTGGTCTTGAACTTCCGACCTCAAGAGATCCTCTCTCCTTGGCTTCCCAAAGTGTTGAAATTAGAGGTGTGAGCTACCGCATCTGGCTGTTTTTGTTTTTTTTTTTTTACACAGACCCAAAAGCCAAATGGACACCTCTATAGGCATACCTTGTTTTACTATGCTTTGCTTTCTCGCACTTCTCAGATATTGCACATTTTGTAAATTGAAGATTTATGGCAACAAGCAAGTCTATCGCTGTCATTTTTCCAATAACCTGTGAGCTCTTTTCATGTCTCTGTATCACATTTTGGTAATTATCTTAATAGTTCAAACCTTTTCATTATTATTATATCTGATATGGTGATCTGTCATCAGCGATCTTTGACATTACTATTGTAATTATTTGGGGGCATCATGAAACTTCTCCATATAAGATGACAAACTTAACCAATAAATGTTGTATGTGTTCTGACTGCTCTATTGACCAGCCATTCCCCTTCATTCTCCCTTTCCTTGGGCCTCCCTATTCCCTGAGACACAATATTGAAATTAGGCCAATTAATAACCCTACAATCACCTCTAAATCTTTCAAATAAAAGGAAGAGTTGTATATCTTTCACTTTAAATCAAAAGCTAGGAATCATTAACCGTAGTGAGAAAGGCATATGGAAAGCTGAGATAGGGATGGACGTGGTGGCTCACGCCTATAATACTAACACTTTTGGAGATGGGGGTGGGAGAATTGCCTGAGCCTGGGAAGTAGAGGCTTTAGTGAGCCATGATTGTGCCTCTGCACTCCAAAGAAAAGGAAGGAAGGGAGGGAGGGGAGGGAAGAAAGGGAGAGGAGGGAGGGAAGGGAGAGGAGGGGAGGAAGGGAGAAAGGGAGGAAGGGAGGAAGAGAAGAAGGGAGGGAGGGAGGAGGGAGGGAGGAGGGAGGGAGGAAGGAAGGAGGGAGGGAAGGAGGGAAAGGAAGGAGAGAGGGGAGGAGAAGAGAGGGAAAGGGAGAGAGGGAGGGAGGGGAAGGGAAGGAAAAAGAAAGCTGAGATAGGCTAAAAGCTATGCCTTCTCTTTTTTCTTCTTGCCTCGGTGTCCTAGTAGCTGGGATTATAGGCACTTGCCACCTCATCCGGCTAATTTTTGCATTTTTAGTAGAGACAGGGTTGCACCATGTTGGCCAGACTGGTCTCAAACTCCTGACCTCAGGTGATCCACCTGCCTTGGCCTCCCAAAGTGCTGGGATTACAGGCATGAGCCACTGCACTCAGTGTTATGCCTTTTTAGCCAGGTTGTGAATGCAAACAAAAAGTTGTTTTTGTTTGTTTGGATTTTGTTTGTTTGTTTTAAACCGTTATGGTTTGACTGTGGAAAATGGAAAAGTTCTTGAAGGAAATTAGAAATGCCCAGACCAGCCTAGGCAACATAGTGAGACCCTGTCTCTATTTAAAAAATAAAAATTTTTTTTTTAACAAAAAAAAGAAAAGTTTGAAGCTAGCAGAAGTTGGTTCTTGAGGTTTAAGAAAAGAAGCGATCTCCATAACATAAAAATGCAAGGTGAAACAGCAAATGCTGATGGAGAAACTGCAAGTTGTCCACTAGGTCTAGGTAAGATAATTAATAGTAACTACACTAAACAGCAGATTTTCTTTTTTTTTTCTTTTTTTTTTTTTTTGAGATGGAGTTTCGCTCTTGTTACCCAGGCTGGAATGCAATGGCGCGATCTCGGCTCACCGCAACCTCCGCCTCCTGGGTTCAGGCAATTCTCCTGCCTCAGCCTCCTGAGTAGCTGGGATTACAGGCACGTGCCACCATGCCCAGCTAATGTTTTGTATTTTTAGTAGAGACGGGGTTTCACCATGTTGACCAGGATGGTGTCGATCTCTTGACCTCGTGATCCACCCGCCTCGGCCTCCCAAAGTGCTGGGATTACAGGCTTGAGCCACCGCGCCCGGCCTAAACAGCAGATTTTCAATACAGTTGGGAAACAGCCTTCTATTGGAAGAAGATGCCACCTAGGCTTTGATAGTTAGGGAGAAGTTGATCCCTGGCTTCAAAGCTTCAAAGGACAATCTTACTCTCTTGTTAGAGGCTAAATGCAACCAGTAGCTTTACATTAAAGCCAATGCTCATTTACCATTTTGAAATTTCTAGGGCCCTTAAGAATTATGCTAACTCTACACTGCCTGTGCTCTATAAATGGAACAAAACCTGGGTGACAGCATATCTGTTTACTACAGCATAGTTTACTGAATATTTAAGCCTACTGAGACCTACTATCCAGAAAAAAAGATTCTTTTCAAGATATTACTGCTCATTGACAATGTCCCTGGTCAACCAAGAGCTCTCCTGGTACATCTTCAGATGTACCAGGAAATTAATGTTGTTTTCATGCTTGCTAACATAATATCCATTTTGCTGCCCATGGAACAAGAAATCATTTTGACTTTCAAGTCTTATTATTTAAGAAATACATTTCAGCCAGATGCAGTGGCTCACGCCTGTAATCCCAGCACTTTGGGAGGCCAAGGCAGGTGGATCACCTGAAGTCAGGAGCTCAAGACCAGCCTGGCCAACATGGTGAAACCCCATCTCTACTAAAATGCACAAAATTAGCTGGGTGTGGTGGTGGGTGCCTGTAATCCCAGCTACTTGGGAGGCTGAGGCAGGAGAATCACTTGAACCCAGTAGGCAGAGGTTGCAGTGAGCCGAGATCACGCCACAGTACTCCAACCTGGGCAACCAGAGGAAAACTCCATCTCAAAAAATAAAAATAAAAACAAAAGAAGAAATACATGTTATAAGGTGATAGCTGCCATTGATTCCTCTGATGGACCCAGGCAAAGTAAATTGAAAAAGTTCTGGAAAGGATTCATTATTCCAGGTGCCATTAAGAACATTCATGATTCATGGGGAGTCAAAATATCAACATTAACAAGATTTTGGAAGAAGTGGATTCTAACCCTAATAGATGACTTTGAGGGATTCAAGACTTCAATGGAGGAAGTAACTGCAGATGTGCAAATATCAAGAGAACTAGAAGTGGAGCTTGAAGATGTGACTGAATTGCTTCAATCTCATAAAATTTGAACAGATGAGGAGTTGCTTCTCATAGATGACCAAAGAAAGTGGTTTCTTGAGATACAATCTACTCAATCTACTCTTTGTGAAGATGCTGTGAACACTGTTGAAATGACAACAAAGGATTTAGAATATTCCATAAACTTAGTTGATAAAGCAGGGGCAGAGTTTCAGAAATCTGGATTGACTCCAATTTTGAAAGGTCCACTGTGGGTAAAATATTATCTACCAGCATCACACGCTGTCACGAACTCTTTAACTCTTTCATGAAAACAAAAGTCAACAAATGTAGCAAATGCCATTGTTGTCTTATTTTAAGGAATTGCGAAAGCCACCCCAGCCTTCAGCAGCCACCGTCCAGATCAGTCAGCAGCCATCAACATGGAGCAAAGACCCTCCACCAGCAAAGAACATGACTTGCTAAAGGCCTAGATGATTGTTAGCATGTTTTAGCAGTCATGTATTTTATTTACTTGTTTATTTTAGAGGTAGGGTCTCACTCTGTCTTCAGGCTGGGGTGCAGAGGCACAATCATAGCTCACTGTCATCTCGACCTTCTGAGCTCAAGCGACCCTCCGGCCTCAGAGCAATAACAAATGTACATATACTTCTTCCTCCCTCTCCCAATATTATCAATTAAGGTACGAACACTGTTTTAGACATAACGCCATTACACACTTACTAGACTACATTATAAACGATTGTATTTGCACTGGGACATGAAATATTTGTGAGACCTCACTTTATTGCCACATTGCGGTGTTCTGGAACCAAATTCGCAATTATCTCTGAGGTATGCCTGTAGCAGATTTTCTGTGCTTGGGTTGAGTCCACATCGTAAATACCTTGGAGGCAAAAGGAACACGGCCGAGAGCACAGAGAACAATACATATTTGCTGAAAGTACAACTGCTGACGACCACAGCCTTGCCTTCTCCAGTTGACTGTGCAACAAATGTTGCCAATTTGCCAGAGGCAAGCAATTCGAGGAGAGAAAAGCTGCCTTTCCAGTTGGCAAGAAAAGTACTGGGTTTGTCTTCTGCGGATCACCAGCAACCCAGATCCCGACCCGAGATTTGAGACCCACTTTTGGTGAACGGAACTCCTAGCAGCAACGCCCAGCCCCTGTCGTGACCCTCCGACCGCACTTGCCTCCCAGCTTGAAGAGGTGGAAGGGGCCGCCCCGAGTCCCCGCAGTTTGCCAGTGAGTGCCCCCTAGGCGGAAGCGGCGCAGGAGCCCCTAAGCCAGCCTCGGGGCAAGGGGCGGGGCAGGGCGGGCCGTACGCCCCCGCCCCTCGCTGGCGCCCCAACCCTGCGCGCCGGGCCTGCGTGTCCTCGCGCCGACCCCTCCCTCGCGCGCCTTGGCGGGCGCACGCGCGTGGCCTAGCGCAGGGCGGGGAGAGGCGGTGGCTCTGGGTGTCCCGCCCCGAACCTGTCAGACCCGGGGAGCCGGCCTCCAGCTGCGGGCGCGGCGGGCGCGACAGGCGCGAGCACGACCCTGCTCTCCAGCGGCCCCGGGTGGAGAAGCGCAAGCCGGCCTCGCCTAGCCGGCCGGGGGCTGGGAGATGAGTTGCGGCCTCGCGGCAGCGCCCCAGGTATTAAATAGATGCGCCGCCCCCTCGCGGAGCCCCGGCGAAGCCTCGGGGCCGACCTTGCGACCCGCAGCCCGCGGCTTCGGAACTTGAGGACAGGGTTGGGCGCCTTTAATTTATAACATGTTTCATTTTCCACAGGATGGGGAGGGACGCGCGGCACTGCCCTCGAGAACTGGCACTCCGGTGAAGTAGGCGCCGCCGGCCGTCCGCCTCCCGCCAGCCGTTCCGCGCCGCGGCCGCTCAGCCTCTGCCATGGCCGGCTCCGGCGCGTGGAAGCGCCTCAAATCTCTGCTGAGGAAGGATGACGCGCCGCTGTTTTTAAATGACACCAGCGCCTTTGACTTCTCGGATGAGGGGGGAGACGAGGGGCTTTCTCGGTTCAACAAACTTCGAGTTGTGGTGGCCGATGATGGTTCCGAAGCCCCGGAAAGGCCTGTTAACGGGGCGCACCGGACCCTCCAGGCCGACGATGATTCCTTACTGGACCAGGACTTACCTTTGACCAACAGTCAGCTGAGTTTGAAGGTGGACTCCTGTGACAACTGCAGCAAACAGAGAGAGATACTGAAGCAGAGAAAGGTGAAAACCAGGTTGACCATTGCTGCCGTTCTTTACTTGCTTTTCATGATTGGAGAACTTGTAGGTGAGTTGTGTTGCCAACTCACTTTCCCTTTACCTTTCCTCGAGAGTCTTTGTCAAGCTGTAGTTACACAGGCTTTGAGGTTTAAACCATCTTTTCAGGAAGTTTGTATTTATGAAGACACTGATCTCATGTGAAAAGGCCACACGGTTCCAAAGTGCAGCTCAATCTAAGTACAATATAAACACCCCGAGATAACTTTTTCTTTTTTTTTTTTATTACTACTCCTGAGATAACTTTGACTTTGTCTTCTCATTCTTCAAACACTGTCATCTACCGTAAAGTTAAGGACCTTATCTTCATCATATGTCATGTAACTTCCTCTTTTTACAAAATTCTGATAAAATACCAGGTTAATTTTTGCAGCGTTTAAAATAGTAAATGATCGTAAATTACTTAGGATCGTAGAATTTTACAATATGAAGGGACCTTATTGAACACCTGCTCTCCATCTCCTTTTTTTTTTTTTCCTTTTACATGTAAGGATTTCCAGGGCACAAACAGGTGAAATAAGTTGTGAGGGCCACTTAGGGAGTTAATGGAAGAGCCACATCTACAGTCCCAGCATTTTTTCCTCTACATTTGACCTAAGTGGTTTCTTTTATACTATTTCCTTTTGTGTTTATAGCCAAGAGGTTTGCAAAATTAATTACCAACTAACAAAGGAGGGCCTGAAATGAACCAGGGGACTCCACCAAAGTTCTATAAACCTGGTTTTCTTTTTCATTTTTTAATTATATAAACAATCCGTTTTCAATATAAGATACATTCTTAGAGGTTATTTTCAGTCACATCAGTGTAACTATTAACTTCTCAGTGACAGTTTACAAAGTGACATTAAAAGGAGATGATTCTGCCATGTTATCTCTTAATGATGAACCATGACAAAAACAGATGGCAGTCCAGATTTAAGATGCTTGACTAGACGGTGCTATGTAGGAAAAATTATATACATTTCCTACCTCATTTCATAACATTTCTCCCCAGGTTCACTTCAGCCATGCTGGCCTTTTTCCTCCTACAACTCACAAAGCTCTTTTTGCCCCTAAGGCATTCAAAGTGGCTGGTCCCGCTATCTCAGTGGCTTTCAGACATTTTTTGACTTCACTATAGTAAGAAATACACTTCACATTGTGACTCATGTAGGCATGCATGTATACATATGTATGTGAATACACACAGGTCACGTGTATAAATATACATAAAACTGAAACAAAATTTCTCCTTCCTGTGATGTATCCTAATAGTTTTTCAATTGTGGTCCCAGCTTACTAAATGAATTTCATGGTTTACTGCAGTAGGTCAGGGCCTGTAGTTTGAAAAACACTGCTTTACATAGACTATCTTTCCCAAATCTTTTCTTGGCCAATTTTTTGTCATTCAGTGTCTTGTTTAAAAAGACACCCTGTCAGGGCGCGGTGGCTCACACCTGCAATCCCAGCACTTTGGGAGGCTGATGTGGGTGGATCACTTGAGGTCAGTAGTTCGAGACCAGCCTGGCCAACATGGTGAAACCTCATCTCTACTAAAAAAATAAAAAATAAAAAAAATTAGCTGGGGTTGGTGTCAGGTGCCTGTAATCCCAGCTACCCAGGAGGCTGAGGCAGGAGAATCCCTTGAACCGGGAGGTGGAGGTTGCAGTGAGCCGAGATGGCGCCATTGCAGTCCAGCCTGGGCAACAAGAGTGAAGCTCCATCACAAAAAAAAAAAAAAAAAAAAAAAAAAAACCACAAGAAAACAACCACAACAAAATATTTGGAATGTTACACAGAATTAAATTGTATACAATAGAGCATTTATTAAAGTGTGTTCAAAGCGCTTACAAATAAAGCAACTTCAACCTCACTTGAGGTTAAGAGGAAAGCAGGCTGGCCAATGTGAAACCCGGTCTCAACTAAAAATATAAACATAAGCCAGTGTGGTGGCATGCGCCTGTAGTCCCAGATACTGGGGAGGCTGAGACGTGATAATTGCTTGAACCTGGGAGGTAGAGGTTACAGTGAACCAAGATCGTTCCACTGCACTCCAGCCTGGGTGACAGAGTGTGACTCTGTCTCAAAAAAAGGAAAGAAAGAAAAATAAATAAAGCATCTTATGTAGGAAGTATGGAATAACAAAAAATGAAGCAATTTGGCTGCGCACAGTGACCCACACCTGTAATCCTAGCACATTTGGGAGGCCGAGGCTGGCGGATCACTTGAGGTCAGGAGTTCAAGAGCAGCCTGGCCAACATGGTGAAACCCCATCTCTACTAAAAATACAAAAATTACCCTGAAATTGCTTGAACCCAGGAGACAGAGGTTGCAGTGAACCAAGATCATGCCACTGCACTCCAGCCTGGGCAACAGAGTGAGATTACATCTTAAAAAAAAAAAAGTAGCAATTTGGCCAGATGTGGGAAGTATCTTACGTAGGAAGTATAGAGGAATAAAAAATGAAGCAATGTGGCTGGGCGCAATGGCTCATGCCTGTAATACCAGCACTTTGGGAGACCGAGGATTGCTTGAGCTCAGGAGTTCAAGACCAGCTTGGGGAACATGGCGAAACCCTCTCTTTACCAAAAATAGAAAAACTTAGCCTGGTGTGGTTGTATGTGTCTGTGGTCCTAGCTCCTCTGGAGGCTGAGGTGGCAGGATTGGTTGAGCCCAGGGGGCAGAGGTTGCAGTGAGTAGAGATCCGGCTATTGCACTCCACCCTGGGTGAGTGTGAGACTGTCTCAAAAAGAAGGGGAAAAAATGAAGTAATTTAAAGATCTGAGATACACTTGGTTGGCTTTGCCACTTAACTTGCTCTGAGACCTTGGTCAAGATCCATTATTTACTTCTCTTCGGAAGTATATTTTGAATACTTACACTATGTGCCACATGTTCTGAATGTACAGTGGACAACAAAACTATTATGATCCCTACTATCTGGAGAATTTAATCCAATGGAAGAGACAGACATTGAACATGTAAGTAAATTTAAAATTTAGATGGTCCTAAGTGTTAGGAAGAAAAAGAACAAGGTAGTATAGGACATAGTAAACAATAGGACATAGTTTATGAATGAACCAGGTATATTTAAGCCAAAAAAAAAGAATAGTAGGAGTTACCCAGACAGAGTGAGAGTTTTCTGAGAGAAGAGAACAGCATGTACCAACGTCCTAAAGCCTTCAATTCTTCAAAAGGAATTAGAAAGAAGGCCAGTTTGGCTTCAGTGTGTAACCATGAGGGAAGAAGGCAGGAGGAAGAGATCAGGCAGGTCTTAGAAGGCCATGTTAAATAGTGTAGTTTCATAAGTGCAATGGCAACCAGTTAAAGGTTTTAAGCAGGGGAGTAACGAAATGGGATTTACCTTTTTGAAAGATTACTCTGGCTGTTATATGAAGAATGGATTGGAGGACATATTCTTGGAAGCAAGAATATGAGTCTGTGGTTAGAAGAGAGGTCAAGGTGGAGACAGATGCGTATGTAATGCCACAGGAATGGGTAAAATTACCTGGAGAACCCAAGTCCCGAGGAACTCCAACTTTAGAAGTCAGGCAGAGGGAAAAAGGTGTTCCCAAAAAATTTTTAAAGGGTATTTCGAAGTGGAAATAAACAGGTTGAAACTATTGAGAGGTCTAATTAGGACTAAAACATCCTTTGGATTTGGTAGCAGAGTTATAACTGCATTTTTATTGAAAACAAAAATGCTTGATTGAGAGTGAATATAAACTTCCAGCTAAGGATGGCAAATGGAACTCGTGCATTTAATTTTTCTCATTCCTGATGCCTCTCTTATACAATAAAGGTTTTTTTTGTTTTTGTTTTTGTTTTTAATGGAGTTTCACTCTGCAACCCAGGCTGGAGTGCAGTGGTGCTTTCTCAGCTCACTGCAGCCTCTGCCTCCTGGGTTCAAGCGATTCTCCTGCCTTAGCCTCCTGAGTAGCTGGGACTACAGATGTGCACCACCATGCCCAGTTAATTTTTTGTAGTTTTAATAGAGATGGGTTTCACCCTGTTGGCCAGGCTGGTCTTGAACTCCTGACCTCAAGTGATCCGCCCACCTTGGCCTCCCAACGTTCTGGGATTACAGGTGTGGGCCACCACACCTGGCCTCTTATACAACAGAAATTTTTTTAGAAACATATAAATTCATACATATGGGGAAATCTGGTGAGGAGAATATAGCAAGAAAAATTTTAGAAACTGGAAAGGAAACAGATACGACTTAGTAGACCCAAGAAAGCAAACATCTAAGCCAGCAGTGGGGAAGGCTGAAAACCATCCCAGTTTACACTACAGCAGTGATTCTCAAGCTTTACTGTACATCAGAATCACATAGAGAACTTCTTAAAACACAAGATCCCAGGGGATGCTGACACTGCTAATTCAGGAACCATATTTGAGAACTACTGCACTAGAAAATCCTAAGTAGGCTCCAGATTGGCTGTACCAGGTACCTCTGGAAGTGTGGGTGAAGAAGGAAGCTAAAATAAGGAAAGCTAGTTAAACCTGTTTAAGAGCCAGTCAGATATAATAGTAAAATTATATAATTAGTATTCTCAGAGATAAGAGAAGATCATGTATCCATGAAGCAATAACAGACTGCTTTAAAATAGAAATTCAGGGTGGCCACAGTAGCTCATCCCTATAATACTAACACTTTGGGAGGCTGAGGCAGGAGGATCACTTTAGCCCAGAAGTTCAAGGCCAGCCGGGGCAACATGGCAAGACCCTGTCTCTGCAAAAAAGAAAGAAAAATAGTAGGACATGGTGGTGCCTACCTGTGGTCCCAGCTACTTAGGAGGCTAAGGTAGGAGGATCACTTGAAGCCAGGCAGCTGAGGTTGCAGTGAGCCAAGTGTTGGTGCAGTTGCACTCCAGCCTGGGGGACAGAGTAAGACCCTGTATCAGAAAAATAAAATAAAATACAGAATAAAGAAAAGAGGCTTTGCATATTAAAAACATATAGTTGAGGGCCAGGCACCATGGCTCATGCTTATAATCCCAGCATTTTGGGAGGCCAAAGTGGACAGATCACGAGGTCAAGAGTTTGAGACCAGCATGGCCAATATGGTGAAAACCCATCTCTACTAAGAACACAAAAATTAGCTGGGCATGGTATCCTGTAATCCTAGCTACTTGGAAGGCTGAAGCAGGAGAATCACTTGAACCCAGGAGGCGGGAGGGTGTAGTCAGCTGAGATTGAGCCACTGCACTCCAGTCTGGACAACAGAGCAAGACCCTGTCTCAAAAAAAGAAGATGAATTAAGATACTCTGTCACAGAGTTGAGCAAAAAGATGTATAATTGTAGAGAAAGGGCAAAAACAATTTTGAGGCCAGGTGCGGTGGTTCATGCCTGTAATCCTAGCACTTTGGGAGGCCAAGGCAGGCAGATCACTTGAGGTCAGGGGTTCAAGACCAGCCTGGCCAACACGGCGAAAACCCATCTCTACTAAAAATACAAAAATTAGCTGGGCATGGTGGCACATGCCTGCAGTCTTAGCTACACGGGAGGCTGAGGCAGGAGAATTGCTTCAATCCAGGAGGTGGAGGTTGCAGTGAGCCAAGATCGCCCCACTCCACTCCAACCTGGGTGACAGAAAAAAAAATATTTAGAATGTCAGTCTAAACTCCAAATAATAGGAAGGAGTTTGAGAAAGAGAGATAGCAAAGGTGATGAAATAACACTATAGTTGATAGTTTAGAAAGTTTTCCCATAACTGGAGGATACATGTTTCTAAATTGAAAGAGCAAATTAGGGGAAAAGAGATCCACACCAAGGTAGTCATTGTGAAATTTCAGAACACAGGGAATACATCATTATCTACCTCAGGCAGCTGCAGTGTTATATATTGTCTCTGATTTTTGAGAAGCATGGGAAGACGGGGCCTGTTCATACAGAGCAAGCTCCAGGTGTCCAGTCAAATAAAAACATCCTTGCACGTCCTTCAGGGAACTACCAGACAGGTCAAATAATGACAGTTCTCTGGGAATGGGGCATTGCAAGAGCTCCAAACTCATTTTGTGTCCTCCAGTGGCTGCCAACCTGAGGCTTTCATTATGATTGTGGCCTGTTGGTTTTCAAAGCTACCGTAGAGCTGGGGAACAACAAATGGGTACAGCGCAAATTAAAACACCACAAAGATAACTGTTAGCTTACTGAAAATCGGCTATTTTTCTTGAATAAGTGCTATGCGTATAAGCTTTTGTCTAATTTCCAAAGTTCTGAAAAAGCCGATTTTGACTATTTTCGTCCATATTCTAATTCTTTTTGTGAAGATGATTTTCAGAGGTCCTTACTTTTGTTGTTGTTGTTGTTGTCACTGACATGTAGCTTTTTAAATTTAGGTTAACTAAAATAATTAAGCCTGGGCAACATAGCAAGACCTTGTCTCTTAAAAAAAATGATAAAAAGATTAGCTGACCATGGTGATTCATGCCTATAGTCCCAGCTACTCAGGAAGCTGAGGTGGAAGGATTACATGAACACAGGAGGTTGAGGCTACAGTAAGCTATGATCATATCACTGCACTCCTGCCTAGGTGGCAGAGCAAGACCCTGACTCTTAAAAAAAAAAAAAAAAAAAAAATTAATTTAATTAATTAAATTCCTTAGTTTTACTAACCATTTTTCTTTTTCTTTATTATTTATTATTTTGGAAGAGATGGAGTTTCACCATGTTATCCAGGCTGGTCTCAGAACTACTGAGCTCAGGTGATCTGCCTGCCCTCAGCCTCCCAAAGTGTTGGGATTACAGGTGTGAACCACCATACCTGGCCCCATTTTTCTTTTTTTTTCTTTTTTTTCAGTCAAGGTCTCACTGTCACCCAGGCTGCAGTTCACTGGTGCCATTATAGCTTACTGCAGCCTCAGTCTCCTGGGCTTAAGCAATCCTCCCACCTCGGCCCCCCAACAGCTGGGATTATAGGCATATGCCACAGTGCTCCAGACTTGCTAGCCATTTTTCAAATGCTGAAAAGCCACATGTGACTAGTGGCTACAGCATTGGACAGCATAGATACAGAACATTTCTTTTTTTTTTTTTTTTTGAGACATAGTCTCGCTGTGTCACCCAGGCTGGAGTGCAGTGGAGCAATCTCCACTCACTGCAACCTCTGCCTCCCATGCTCAAGGGATTCTCCTGCCTCAGCTTCCGAGTAGCTGGGATTACAGGCACATGCCACCGCACCCAGCTAATTTTTGTATTTTTAGTAGAGAAAGGGTTTTTCCACATTGTTCAGGCTGGTCTCAAACTCTTGACCTTGAGATCCACCCACCTCAGCCTCCCAAAGTGCTGGGATTACAGGCATAAGCCACTGCGCCTGGCAGTACAGAACATTTCTATCATCTCAAAGTTCTATTGGACAGAGTTGCTTTAAGGAATTACCCTATTATAAAATGATGAGTATACTAAAGCTCAAAAAAATTAACTCATTCAGACTTTCTGAGATTGCAAAACTCCATGTTGTTTACAACCAGCCTTCTCTCCGTGCTTTGGAGCTTTTTCATGTCAGGGAGTACAAAGAAAATGCTATTTGTGTAGAGCACATTGGGGTAAATGGATGTGACTAACAGATCATCAGCCCCTAGTCTCCTGCTTTCCTGCTGCTGTTGTCTTTACATACTCAGCACATGAATGAGGAGGATCAGCACCTCAGCACACTTAGCTGATCATGCAGTTCTGCTGTACACTATAACAGTGGTTCTCAAAGTGTGGTTCCAAGACCTGAAGCATCAGAGTTACCTGGGAGCATGTTAGCAATGGAATTTGTCAGCTCTCATCCCCATCCCAGACCTACCAAATCAGAAATTCTGGGAATGGGGTTAAGCAGTTTGTAGTTTAACAAGCCCTCCAGGAGATTCCAATACACATAAAAGCGTGAGTCCTGCTGTATTATATAAAAAGCTTATTCAATGAATACTGCTGTGAAAATTGGTTGTCCTTTATGGACAATACAGACACACAACAAAAAAAAATGTATAATATATATATATTAAATGCCTGTAAAATCAATAACAAAAATTGTGTTCTAAATACCACCTTTTGTCCCCCTCTTCAGAGATATTGCTGTCTATATCCAAGTGAATCAGTTAATTTTCATATTGAACTAACATATATTTCGTAGGTTTCCTCAGTTTAATTTTATGTTCAAACGCTCCTCAACAAGTGAACATCCTCCTTTTCTTCAGCTTTGTTTTAATATTTAGATATTATGGTTATTAATTCAGTATCTAATAGTAGAATTAGTAAGTTGAGCAAAAACTTCAGTGCCAAGACACAGAATCTGTCTTTACATGTTCGCCTTGTGGTTCTTAAATTTTTAAAAGTCATTGACTCTTCGCAGAATGTGTTACTAGAAATGGATATTATGGCTGGGCACAGTGGCTCACGCCTATAATCCCAGCACTTTGCAAGGCCAAGGCAGACGGATCATTTAAAGTCAGGACTTCAAGACCAGGCTGGCCAACATGGTAAAACCCCGTCTCTACAAAAACAAACAAAAAAATTAGCCAGGCATGGTGCGCAGCTACTCAGGAGGCTAAGGCAGAAGAATCACTTGAACCCAGAGTGCAGAGGTTGCAGTAAGCCGAGATCACACCACTGCACCCTGCCTGAGCAATGGAGTGAGACTCTGTCTCAAAAAAAAGGAGAAAAGAAATGGATATTCTCATGAGAAAAATATACCTATATCTAATGTTTTGAATAAAATTTCAAAATATGTTGATTTAATTGTAATGGGATAAAGATTTAGTTAGAAGTTCATGTTTTGTAGGATATTGCATATCCTACAATCTAGTTTGTTTATTTTTTAAAAAAATTAACTTGTTCCCTTTTCTTCCTACTTGTAATTCTAAGGTGGATACATTGCAAATAGCCTAGCAATCATGACAGATGCACTTCATATGTTAACTGACCTAAGCGCCATCATACTCACCCTGCTTGCTTTGTGGCTATCATCAAAATCACCAACTAAAAGATTCACCTTTGGATTTCATCGCTTAGGTAGGTAATTGGGGTTTCTTTTGCTTTATAATATTTTATAGTAAAACCACAATGAACTATAACTTGATTAACTGAACTCGTTCCAGTGATACCTTGTTTGAACAAAGCAAATGAAAATAGGTAAACAAGATTTATTCAAAAACATCTCTTTCAGGGTACATTCGGCCCAGTCAGCTAAACAGTTTATACATATAAAATTATATGATAATCATTAATCTTCAAACATTGCTCCCTGTGTCCTGAAGATACCATCAGAAGAAAGTTTACTTTCAGTTTATTGAACAAAGCAAAACCACATGGGTTTAACCCATTAGTGAGCATTAGCTTCTCCCTTTTACTACAGGCATTTTAGCCAAACCTACCACAGCTTAGATTTTAAGAAGAGCTATCATTTGTATTGTTAAAACGCATGAGCTGAATGAAGAGACCTCCCCTGAAACAGGCTTTGTGTGAGCAACATGGCTGTTTATTCACCTGCATGCAGGTGGGCTGAGGCTGAAAAGTGCATCAGCGAAGGGCGGTGGGATAAGAGTTGGTTTTGTTTTGTTTTGTTTTGAGACAGAGTCTTGCTTTGTCGCCAGGCGCCAGGCTGGAGTGCAGTGGCGCGATCTCGGCTCACTGCAACCGCTGCCTCCTGCGTTCAAACAGTTCTCCTGCCTCAGCCTCTCGAGTAGCTAGGACCACAGGCACGCACCACCACACCAGCTAATTTTTGTGTTTTTTAGTAGAGACGGGGTTTCACCATGGTCTCGATCTGTTGACCTCGTGATCCGCCCACCTCGGCCTCCCAAAATGTTGGGATTACAGGCGTGAGCCACCGTGCCTGGCCAGGAGTTGGCTTTATAGGTTTGGAGTGGGCAATGTAAAATTACAGTTTAGGGCAGTTTTTTGCAAGCTGGAAGGGAGTCGTAGGGTGTGGAGTCAGGTTGACCAAGGTCAGTTACGAACTTCAATGGCCTCATCAATTAAGATGCGAATAAGGAAGAATAGAGAATGTCTCAAAGTTGAGTAGGCACTGAAGGGGTTGATGATATCATCCTCTTTTCATGGTCTTTCAGTTACTTTAGATTTTCCAGGAACTCATCTGGAGTGTCCCTGCAGCTCACAGAGGTTAACATGGCATCCGTGGCACCGTCAGTCAGCCTAAAAGACCTTAGATGTATACTGTATACTATGTGGCTGAACTTGACTGCAGCCATTGCATCAACGTAATTCTGCAAATGCACACATTTGTCTTTGCCTGTTTTGAACAAATATTAATGTTTAATTATGAAGAGTTGAAATCATACATTGCTGTATACACAGCTCTTCTTACTGTATTACTGTTTTTAAACTTTTTGCTTATTTTGAAAATATGTATAAAATAATTACCTGAACTATTATATGAAGTGCCATTCACCCAGATGTCAGACCCAAAAGTAGAACTAAAAGTTGACATTTAAGTAGCTTCAGCAAAACTTGCCTCAAAGAACTAGAGTTAACATCTGATAATTTCATTTTGTAGGAACACTGATGTTCCTGGCTAATATATCAATCAGTTCCTCATCTTGTTATTTTTTAGCTTAAAAAAATTTTAACTCAGCCTGTCGGACTTCTTTTTGTTTGTTTCTTTACCTATATTTTCTTTGTATTTGTTTTTAGTTTCTGTTTTTTTTTTTTTTTTGAGACGGAGTTTCACTCTTGTTACCCAGGCTGGAGTGCAATGGCGCGATCTCGGCTCACAGCAACCTCTGCCTCCTGGGTTCAGGCAATTCTCCTGCCTCAGCCTCCTGAGTAGCTGGGATTACAGGCACACGCCACCATGCCCAGCTGAATTTTTGTATTTTTAGTAGAGACGGAGTTTCACCATGCTGACCTGGATGGTCTCGATCTCTTGACCTCGTGATCCACCCGCCTCGGCCTCCCAAAGTGCTGGGGTTACAGGCGTGAGCCACTGCGCCCGGCCGTTTAGTTTCTGTTTTTAAGATAGAGTCTTGCTCTGTTGCCCAGGCATGAGTGCAGTGGCGTGATCTCACCTCACTGCAACCTCTGCCTCCCAGGCTCAAGAGATCTTCCCACCTCAGCCTTCCAAGTAGCTGGGACCATAGGCCTGTACCAACATGCCCAGCTAATTTTTGTATTTTTTTGTAGAGACAAGGTCTACCTACAAGGGGGTCATCCCTTGTCCAGACTGATGTCAAACTCCTGCACTCAAGCCATCTTTCTGCCTTGGCCTCCCAAAATGCTGGGACTACAGGTGTGAGCCACAATGACTGGCCCACAGCATCTAGGAGTTCTTAGTTGTGACTGGGTCTTCTGGTGCAAAACTTGAGAGTATACCTAAATGGTGATATTCCAAGTAGCTATCCAGGTCATCAGGTTGGAAATTATCTAGCATCCCTACCCCTCAGCACTCTTAGCTACTGTACAAAAGAACTAAAGCCCCAAGTGAAGTTTTTCTTTTGTTAAGCTACCGCACAATGCATGTGAAAGTGTTCCTGCTAAGACTCAGTGGCTCACACCTGTAATCCCAGCACTTTGGGAAGCCGAGGTGGGCGGATCACCTGAGGTCAGGACTTCAAGACCAGCCTGGCCAACATGGTGAAACCCCATCTCTACTAAAAATACAAAAATTAGCTGGGCGTGGTGGCACACACCTGTAATTCCAGTTACTTAGGAGGCTGAGGCAGGAGAATTGCTTGAACCTGGGAGGCAGAGGTTGCGGTGAGCCATGATTTTGCCACTGCATTCCAGCCTGGGCTGCAGAGTGAAACTCTGTCTCCAAAATAAAAAAGCATTCCTAAAAAAAACCCCACTGCTTCTCAATATATTTTACAATTGTTTGTTTACTGGTTGCCTTGGGATTTTTAAACAGCTTCAAAGTTATTTTTAAACATTAATTACTTTTGTGATTTAAACACCTGGAGTTAAGATCTAAAATGTAAACATCATCATGGAATGGGAATTTTTTTTAACACTGAGAGAGTACATTCATATAGTCCTGTGGTTCTTAACCTCTTTTAGGGTATAAACCCCTTGGAATTTTGATGAAAGCAGTGAAACGCTCCCTCAGAAACATGCAATAACAGAACATAGAAGGTGCTACACATATAAGTTAAGAACCCATAAAAATGAAAATTCTATTAAATATTAAAGAAGTACTTAGTGTTTGCTCTACATAGTCACTTTGCTTCTTCATAAATAAGTACTATGTAAAAATGAGAGAAAATAGAACTGACTGGTCCTATGTGTCTCTGGAATTTTCTTCCTTTCTTTCTTTCTTTCTTTCTTTCTTTCTTTCTTTCTTTCTTTCTTTCTTTCTCTTTCTTTCTTTCTTTCTTTCTTTCTTTCTTTCTTTCTTTCTTTCTTCTTTCTTTCCTTTCTCCTTTCTTTCTTCTTTCTTTCCTTTCTTTTTTTTTTTTTTTGAGTTGGAGTCTCACTCTATCACCCAGGCTGGAGTGCAGTAGCACAATCTTGGCTCACTGCAACCTCCTCCTCTTGGGTTCAAGTGATTCTATTGCCTCAGCCTCCCAAGTAGCTAGGATTACAGGCACATGCCACCATGCTATTTTTTTTTTGTATTTGTAATAGAGATGGTGTTTCACCATGTTGGCCAGGTTGTTCTCAAACTCCTGACCTCAGGGGATCTTCCCACCTCAGCCTCCCAAAGTGTTGGAATTATAGACATGAGCCACTGTGCCCAGCTGTCTCTGGAATTTTCTATAGAAAGTTAAATCTTTCCCTTTCCTTAAAAGTGCTAAGTTCCAAAAAGGTAGAGTAGACAGCAGCATTTGATTCCTGTCTCTCTGAGAGTTCATAAAAACATAGAAGTACCAAAACGCCAAAGAGAATTACATGATTGGGTTACCAATATACGAATTTCCAGAAGTTTTTGGAAGCTGGAAAGTAGATAGAAGTGTGTTGAAGGAGAGAACAAGCCAAAAGGCAACGTGTAGAACATTCTCTGAACTAGGAACTGGATCAGCCCAACAGATCTTAAGGCTTAGGGACAGAGATGAGCAGAAATTAGAATTGGGGCTGAAAGCAGGGAAGATTAATTGAATGACTATCAATGGGAAGCCATTCCCAGTGGTCACTATGCCCCTACCTCCCTTCTTACTCCTACCTCTACTCAGGCAGCTTGCATTTTCCCCAAGGTAAAACACCAGATAGTTCATCTAGAAAGAAACGGAACAAAATGTTTGGGGCAAACTAAGAATTAGTGTAGATATTGGTGTTCCAAAATAAGTCTTACTTTTATTAGAATTCAGAGTTCTGCCACCTTATATCCTGATTCTCCACCTGCTCACCCTAAAGGAATACAGTTGTCCTACTTTGCCCTGCCCTACACCTCATATTAATTACCACTTTAGGCTGGGCATGGTGGCTTATGCCTGCAATCCCAGCATTGTGGGAGACGGAGGCAGGAGGATCCCTTGAGCCCAGAAGTTCAGGACCAGCCTGGGCAACACAGGAAGACTATGTCACTACCAAAAAATATTATTTCAGTTCATTTCTGGTTTATCCTTACAGGATTTCCTTTTCACAAAAGATAGTTTCCAATCCTTCTACCCTAAGTATGAATAGACAACCAAGAATCTTCCAGCATATGGGAAAAAACAGCAGCATGAACTAAAATAACCAAAACTAAACTAACAGAAAAATTAACCCTAAAGAAAAGAGAGGTAACTTAAGGAACCAGGAGAGGCTGGGCGCAGCCTATAAATAATGCTTGCATTTTTTGGGAGGCCAAGGATCACTTGAAGCCAGGAGTTTGAGACCAGCCTGGCCAATATGGCAAAACCCTATTTCTACTAAAAATACAAAATTTAGCTGGACATGGTGGTGCCATGTAATACCATGTAATACGGAGTACCTGTAATACCAGCTACTCTGAAGGCTGAAACACGAGAATCACTTGAACTCAGGAGGCAAAGGTTGCAGTGAGCCAAGATGGAGTCACTGCACTTCAGGCTGGGCAAAAGAGTGAGACAATGTCCCAAAAAAAAAAAAAGAAAAGA